TAAAATTTAATCATGCCCATTTAGCTTAATTTTTATCATCATATAAATGATAAATGCCTTCATATATAAGTTTAAAATTAAATCAGAAAATAGCTAATTAAATTGTTTAATAAATGATCTCAACATTTATCTAAAATGTTGAGATCAATACAATTCTATTAGAAAAATATCAACTTTACACTGTTACATTTGTTAAGACAGAAGTAAATAATTGAAACATTGTATTATATACCACTAATTTAAACAATACAACAGAATATGTAAATTTTATATTTGCACTGTGTTAAACTTTTTTAATAATCAAAACATTTAAATTCAAAATTCTAATAATAAATTACCATTAACTTAGTTCAGAGAATCCAGAAAGGAGAAAGCCACTGGAATTTTGAAGCCTTTAACTCAAAAAAACATTTTCTGGAGTAAAACAACCATTTAAAATAAATTAGGTTCCAGACCATCACTATAAAGCAAATATTGCCTTAAAACAAAAAACAGCCTTTTTCACTTGTCAGTGCTTATAAAAGCCTGAAAATATATTTGCACTATCATTAAGTGCAGAATATTACTTGCGCTAAAAGAGCAATGCAAAAGTAAAAGTAATAAAAGAAAACTTTGTAAATGCTTAAGAGAAAGACAAAATAATAAACATGAATATAATAAAAAAAAGTGCAGTAAAGCAGAATACCACTTTAAATCGAAGTATGCCTGTATATACTGTACAGGTATACCTCACCTTACGTCGGTAATTGGTTCCAGGAGAGGCAACGTAAGTCGAATTTACTTGTCTGCGAATCTACTTGTCACTAGGCTAAACCATAAATTACCATTCCCGGTTCTGTATTTTATTTATTAATGCATTTTTAATAATATATGGTTAATAATGATCTATTTTAAGCTAACAAACAAACAAATTTTAGTTTTTAATATTGTACAGAAAAAAGTAATCTAAATTTATGAATGCATGTACTGTAAATACAGTACATACTTGTAAATGTATATATTTTAATATGATTTTATGTTCTTTAATGCTTTTCTAGTGATATTACGACTTCAATATTTGTGGCGGACAGACGTAAAATCGAATAAAATGACTTAAACTTGATTTTTATTTTTCCATATACTTTTTTTGACAAACGATGTATAATCGGGAATGACATAAGTCGACATATACCTGTATTTATTCCAATAAACAGCAATTTGTCTATAACTTTTTATCTTTTAGCTGCACTGTTTATTAGGGTGCGACTATGCAGACTAGGGTTTCTCAAACGGGATTCCGGGATCCCGGTTGTTTTTTTAACCCGGGAAATTTTTCTTATCCCGGGAAATCCCACAAATTTTTTAAAAATTCACTTTTTTTCTTATTTTGTGTTAAGGTTGAGGAATTTTGCAAATAGAAAGCATAATTAACTCATTCACTGTCAGAATACATTTGTATTTATTAATTTTAAACCTACCTATTAGTTTTTTTTTAATTTTTGCTCGTTATAGCATGTCACAAATAATAAATAATCAATATATAGCTTATTTGTGGCAGGACTATAAAAATTCTTTACTTGTCGGAACCTGTAATATCTGGAATAATTGTGCTTACGCTGTCTTGAGTTTTATCCATGCCCAGTAGCTTCAATAAATGCCTGACGCCAGATTGTGCAAATTGGGCAAGGATACAAACGAGTACAAAGTCTGCAAGTATGAAGTTTTTCTTCATAAACCTGATTATTAAAGCCAAATGAATTGCCGAATTATCGAGCTCTAAGCTTGATGCCGCTATTAAAGCAGCCAAGGTAGACAAATCAAGAATACTAGAGAGCGAAAGAAGTACTACAATCTCGAAAACGAACTCGAAATCTTCCAGGCTACAGGTGAAAAAACACATAATATCTGTCTTCTCTTAAATGCATTAAACACTATTCCAATCACATCAATTGAATCGGAAAGGGCATTCTCGGTGGCAAGACTTTTCATTACTAAAATAAGAATTAGAGTGAGTTATCGGAGTATTGACCATCTTTGCTTTTTAAAATCTTATAAAAGTTTGCAATATTTTGTATTATATTTTATTTAAAAAACGAAAATTACCTTCTAAATTAGAAGTTTATTTTTTTTAATTTTTAACTCAATTCAAAACATTTTTTTTGTTGTTGTTGTATGCAGTTTCCAGCAAACTTTAATTAATTTTTTTCTATTTGTGAAAATTTCTACGTTATTTAAAGGTAATTTTTATTATAGGCCTATAGACCTTACACAGCATTATTAATATGATTTTGGAGGTTACAGAACTTTAAAATTACTTTAAAAAATGGAAAATAATTATATCATTTGATTTCAAGATATTTTGTATACCTTAAAAATAATTAATTTTATCCCGGGATTTCCCGGGAAACAGTTCACTTTTATCCCGGGATCCCGGGACAAGCAAAAGACCGGGAAATGAGAAACCCTAATGCAGACGCAAGCAAGCAAATTTTTCCAGCAAGTGAGAAAAAGCAAGAGCAATAAATATCAAACCTTGTCAGATGTGTGTGAAAACCAGAAATTCACTCTTGCCAGCGATATTTCTTGCTTCTCGCTTGTGCATGGTTTCCCTTTGAGAGAACTATATCTCGCAACCTCTCGCTCGCTACAAAATTTGCATCTGCATAGTTCAAATAAATTTGATATAAACAGCATCCTTAGAGGGTGCTGTTTATATCAAATTTATTTGAATAATAGTAAATAGTATTTATTTGAATAATAGTAAATAGTAATATAATAGTAAATAGTATTTATTTGAATAATAGTTGCAACTATTATTAAAACAGTTATGTTTTTCTCATAACTATTATTTTACAGTATCAAAGTTACATCGTATTCCAAGTAAATGTCATTTCATCTTTATAATATATTATGTTAATTAGCATTTATTCTAAAAAATGTCTATTGTATTCTTGTACTTATAAAGGTACAATTACAACTCTGAATGAAATAGTTGGAATCTTATGAGAACTATAGACCATACCCATAAGAGCAAAAAAGTCAAAGGAATCATACTGTTCATGTGACCCTTCATGACATACAGCCCCCTGAAATCAACCTACTTCCAGGTTGTACACGATTCAGAGTTGCTAAGACTATTGTGTTTAACTATTTAGTCCATGCCACTATGCCAGCTTTGAGTAGCCCACTTGACTGTTCATGATGGGAGTACTTGATGTTATAGGGAGGTATAGGGGCTCATCCCCACACCTTCCTAAAACTTTATAACAGTGCCCATGTGGGGGCTCATCACCATACAGGCACTGAGGTGCTTGCTATCGCTTGCACTGAAGTGCACAACTACATGTGGATCATCGGTCAGAGCACACTATCACTAGCGTCGACCAATGTGGAGCATGGAGAATAGAAAATAGTACCAATATACAGCAAGAACAGATTTTTGGAAGCAAATATCTCAAATACATGTATGGTTCCTTTGACTTTTTTGCTTGTACAGGGGGTCTACAATTCACCAAATTCAAATTTCACATCTTATCCTCATAAATTTATTTTTCTTTAATTATGTATTCTAAGTTACATTCAAGTGCATATATGCTCATAATATTGACAAATATTATTTGAGGGTAACTATTATTTCTATTCTTTGCAAATTAGGTGCAACTATTAATGAAATAATTGTAGTAACTTTTTCATCATCATTTACAAGTGTGGGATTTGTTCTATTCTGGTCCAATCTCAAGTGGTCCTGCTCTCTGCACCTTCTATGTTGTCTTAAATACAATTTGACAGAACTATGAAAAATTTTGTTGATGTGACAATGCCAAATAAAATCTGCAGTTTTCAGTTTACAGTAAGCCTTATCTTCTTCCAATAGACAGTACAATTACTATTAAAGGGGGCTTTCTATAACTTTTTTATTTTGCAGGTACACTGTTCATTAGCATATATACAGTATATTTTACATATATATATATCTCGTGACAAATCATTTTTTTTATAAAATTTTAAAAAAAATAACCGATTCCTATGATACATTAGATACATATTTTATAGCAAAATTTCTGACATATCTTAGGAATACGTCATATTTCCTAAAATTTTTAAAAGTAACGAATGAAATCATAAGGTATTTGTTGATTACACATTTCTTCTAATTCATTAGAAGACACACGTAATCAAAAAATATGACTATAAAATAACAATAATGAATTAATTAATTAGTCTTAATTTATTAATTAGTAATTAACAATTAATTAATAACATTGTAAATAGTTAACATTTTGCATAAAAGTATTATTTATGTTTGCAGCGTCATTAATTAATTAATCAATTAAAATTAATTGTCATAAAGCTTATAGTATTACAAAACTTTCGGTATCATTTAAGCAACACACTTTAACAATTTGCCTCTCGAATTAAAACGGGAGCACCGCAAAATCTTCAAACCCAACATCTTCGAGCGATAATCCGTCACAACACTCGTTTTCGCACAATCGTCACATCACGCCGCGGCCACCAAATAAATTTTGATTTTAAAAAATTTATTATTTATACGTACGCATCTCAATAAGAAAAAAATAAAAAAAACTAATTATAAAATTAAATTTTTAATCATTTATGACAAGTCACATGCATTTGTAAATATTCATATTTTGTGTTTTATTTTTATGTATAAAAACATTCGAACGTTTTGTAAATAATAATAATAATAAACACTACATTTTTTATCACAGATTTTAAATCCATATATAATACATATTTTTTTTTTTTTTTAATGTTTTGTTGATAGATCTGCTTTTTATTGCATTTTATAAAGATAAAAATATTCTCTGGTCGTTATAAAATACCAGTTGATTAGATTAAATATTTAATATATTTGAAAGAATATTTAATAAGTAAATTTAAAATTGAAAATCGACTCAAACAAATCGATCATCTCGATATGTTCACATCCGACAAACACAAAAGGATCGTCGACAAAAGCCTAAAGGCTGTAATGGCAAAAGGACATGATACATTACCTATTTTCTCTTGCTTGATTTTCGACATCTTCCTAAATTCTTTTTGCATTAGTTACTTCGTTGACGTATTATGGCTTATATGCCATTTAATTAAAGGTCTCTTTCTTCGCTAATTCGGATCAACCGCGATCCCAAATGAAGGAAGACGATCGATTGAAACGCCCTCTGCATCTATAGAAACGTTCGTCTGTTTCCCAATTTTTTTTTTTTTTTTCTATTTTTGAATATGGCTTCGTTTTTTTTAAAACTTTATTATAAAATTTATTAATTTTATCGAGTGTTTTAGATGGATTCGATTATTTTAAATCGATTCTGTAAACTTTATGACATTGTTTGAATTTTTATTTCGTAGAAATATATTTCGGAATTTCATTTTTAATATCCCGCGTCATATTTTTATGAAATATTTACGACGTTCTTTCTTTCTGTTTTTAGTACAGTACAGTACTATAATTGATTTATTGAATTTTTTTAAATGTATAATTAATTTGGTGTTTAGATTATGAAGAAACTATAATGTATTTATATTATTATTATTATTTTCATATTAGAAAGTAAAGTGGAATGATGAATGAGGCGCAACGCGTGGGCGATCTGACAATGAAGGAATCCCTCTCGTGAAATTCCCTCGAATGGGAATTTGGTCTCTATTTAGGCTTTAGACATGTGAAGAAAACTTGGAATAGTTAAAATCTCGACAGTAATATCAACAGAAAAAACCTGAAAAACTTCACGTGGTCAGTCCATTTGTTAAGCGCAAACTCGCGATCTTACAATAGTGTTCAGTGTTTTTATTACTCGGCCATGGTGGGTTTTTTATTGGAAATAATCCTTTAACTACAGAAAATTATCATCTAATTTTTCGTTTATATTTTTGTAGAAAATTTGTGCTATTCTATCTGTTGAACATGAGAAATAATCGTATATAAAAGTAGAAGGGCGGTTAGTCGAGACGATAAAGGATGCTCTAAAGGACAAATTAATTGGAGCCCAGAGCAGGAACGTTAGAAAATTTTAAGGAATAGTCCGTCCCGGATAATTCTCAGTCCCTGTCCCTTACCGCCCGCAAGGAAACCATTGTGGGCCTTTATTTTTTAAACTCTTTCCGCTCTGTGGGCACTAAGCGGGCTTCTTTTAGCAAGCCATTATGGGTTTGGCCGGGCTCACAATGGGGCGACCGGGTGGTAAAAGACGGGAACCGATATATTCGGACGGACCATCCCCCAAAAAATTCCTGGGGACTTTTCGACCCGTTCGGATTCGATCCCGAGTTCCCCAGAGCGGTAGGCTGTCATCCGCCATCCCATTGTGGGCCTACCGAACTTTTAATGGAATTCAGCGATACATCGATCTACCGGAAAATCGTGAATTTTCCGGTGGGTTGTTTGTTAGATGCCGGTTCCTTACTTCAATATACATTCTATTTACATTATTATGTAAATATCTTATTTTTTTATGTTTTAATTGATGATAATTTATCCTACTTTACCAGATTTTGAGTATTTTCCAGTATTTTTTGCGTAATTGTTTAATTTCTGATGTCTGTCTACTTTTATCTCAGGATGGGTTGAAAGTAACAAGGCATTGAAATATCACTATAATTTTTGTAATAATAATGCGATCATAATAGAATTTGTAGATTGTACATCAATCAATGGAATTTTATAATTCTTGCATTGGTGGTGTGGGCAATGACCGAGAGAGTCTTCACATGCAGTGGCAAAATAGATTGTCGACCGCTTATCCGTTCAGAAGGGAACTCAGATTGCCGCACAGTATGAGATCTGGAAATTAGTGGTTTCTGTGCAGATATGGTGGCGTATGGTAAAGAGACATCCTGCAACAATCCGTCCGGAAACAATCGAGAGTTGTCATTAGAAGTTAAAATGATCACAAATTCGGTCGCGCACGCAGAGAAGTAGCCGTCTACCCACGTTTCGATCTGAGGAAAACGTGTCACTGGTGGATGATACCGGTATCTACATTAAATTTTAAGGTATGCAACCGTATTTTCATTTAATAAGGTACACATAAAATAATTTTCTTCATTTTTGTCTTAGAAGTATAGAAATTATAAAGATTTATCAATGCCTAATTACTTTGCACCCAACCTGTAATATTTGGTATTTATAAGCAAACGTATCGATAAATTTTTTTTGTATGAAATATTGGTATACATTTTTGTATTTCATACTTTTATTTGCTACTTTTACAATCTATCTATCCTACTCTATACCCTAATTAATTAAACATATTCAGCAATTTATAAGGTTTTGTTTTAAATCATACTTGCTCATTGATAATATATTAATATTACCACCCCTTTTTCGCATTCTCGACGTTTTGACACTTAAAGAGTTCAAAAATGTAAAAACAAAATCTTTACGAAATTCTATATACAGTTGAACATGTATCTGCGGGAACGAGAAAAAAATCGAGATAGGTTTCGCGATAAAGAGGTTCCTACATATAAAACAATACTGTAATAGGTTTTATTGGAAGTACGGTATTTTATTAATACAATACCAAGTATAGTACTGTACTGTACAGTAAATACTTGTCCTATACAGTACTTGGTATTGTATTAATAGAATATCAAGTACAGTAAATATCAAATAAAATAAAATGCAGTGAAAAAATAAATTCCGAGATAAAGAAGTTTTTGAGATAATCATGTTTGAGATAATAAGTTCAACTGTACATATACAGTATGTACTGTATACAGTATGTGCGTGGGTGTGTGTAGGCATTTATTTTGCATTATATCTCAGGAATGGATGAATGAAACATTTTGAAATGTTGCAGTTATTTCTCTATATAGGAGTCATTGATGTGATTAAATTTTGGTAGTTGAAAATCAAGAGAATGGGAAGATAGAGGGGTCATGTGTCACATCTCGAGTGGAATCGGACTTAAATAGTGGCAGGAAAAATAAGACATTAGTATTAAATGTTTAAAAAATAAAATACAAAATTAAATTGAAAAATATAAAACTTCGTTTTAAGTTGAAATTTTTGCCGCCATTTTAAAAAATTCCCATAAATCATTGCAATTTGTCTTCCATTTCTCGCAAAGCGTGTAGACACGTAACGCTGCGATTGCGTCGCTCTATGAATCATCATAACGGCGACAGAATTGTGCTAAGTGGAAAGCCAGTACGAATGCCACCGGATCAAACAGGCTATCAATGCACAGGTGTTTACGATCGTAAAATAAATCTGTCCAGAGGCTGGCGTACCATAAATTCTCGTACCGATTTCACACTTCTCACGAAACACGAGACATCGATGCTTGCGTCTAGTAATTCATCTACTACAGCTTCCAAGCTCATTCGCAGTCAACTGAAGTTTTTCTGACCAATCATAGCACGATATTTAAAATTTTGGGACAGTTTAGTTTTTAAATTTCAAAAATTGAAATACTGTATTTACGGTTAAAATTTGCCATCCAATGAAATGCATGCGAACGTGAATCGAGCAAAATCACTTTGAAACTGTTGATAACGTATCAGTAATTCGATTAGTCGAGAATTTAAATTTCTAAGTTGGACCGATTAACTCTATAAATATAAAAGTCTGTAGTAAATTATATTATAAAACTTTAAATATATATTGTATTGAAATAAAATCTTTCATAAATAACGCAACGCAATTTTTATAATAGTCTTGCCATCCCCTTCGTAACGCTACGTAACGAACATCCCTTCGATTGCATTAAGAAATAATACAGGGCATGCGATACAGAACGTTACATTATTTTATTACCTAGGCCTACATGTGTTACGTAACAAACGGACGGTTCCATACGTGGCACTTCGGAAATAAAAATGCCATTAAAATGTTGACTGTAAAGTTATAAAAAAATAAAAATACTGTAATTGCTACAGATTCTAAAGTTCAGTAATTACAATTTGATATAAAACAACATAAGTCTCGAAGACTTATTAGCGTCTGTTTGATTGGATGGAATCTTGCGCATTTGATACGTAAATTTGACGTCATTCTTTAGAATTTTTCATTATAATACTGAAATAATGACGTCAGATTTACGTATAAAAATGCGTATAACATTCCAACCAATCGAACAGATGATTAAGTAGTTTATGATTTAGTAAATGTGTTTGAATAAATAAAAAGTTTTATATTTTTGAATAAATTAATATAAAGTCTTTCATAAAATATAAATATAAATTTATGTCTTATAATAAATGTCTTATTTTTATTTATTGGAGGGGGTAATATATATTTTTTCTGAATGAAGATTTTTTTACAATTACAAATATGTAGAATTTATAATTAAAAAAAATATTACAAAATGATCAAATATTACTTAGATTATAAGCGCCATTAAGTTTTAATTAATTTCAGAATAATAATAATAATAATAATAATAATTTAAATAACTTCTAAATGAGTTTTAATTATTTTATTTAATTAACCAAATTAAGTAATTTAATAAAATTAATGATAATTAGATCAAATGGTATGGAGTGAAATGCCAAATCATTTTTTCTCACCACTNAAAAGGTTCAACAATTTTCTTCTCAAGATTAGAGATAAGTTAAAGCGAGTTGCCTATAGCGCAATAGTAAACAAGGGGGAAGTGAACAGGCATCATCGTAATAGAGATTAAACTCGTTTAAACGAAGAAAAAACCGTTTAAATTTATTAAAAACACGAATTATTTAACGAAATAACATTAATTTTTGTTTAAAAATCCATATTTATGCCGTAAAAATGCTTTTAACGGGCTAACAGAAACACGCTTAGAGCTCAATCGGATGGAGGAAGTGTGCTCCTACATCCGACTTCTTTGACATTTTAAAGTTACAAAACGAAGACGTACGCCGAACAATTTTGATTTACTCGAAAGATTTTGAGATGGAGATTATATAAAACCTCACAATATGTCGAAATAATTAAAATTATTAAATAAAATTTGCGATTAATTCCGACACGTCGTAACTACCGGAGCGACGTCGCCATTTCTAAAACGGATTTTATTAAAGAAAATCGATATTGTCGACGTTCTTTCGACGTTTTTAGGTAGAGGGCATTAGGTATTTGATTTTTTAATTTATATTTTTACAATATTTTAAAGATTTAATTAATAAATCGGGCTTTAAAAGTTAAAAAGAAGCACAAGTCGATAGTTAAAAACCCACTGGATGCGTACGGACAATGTTTTTAGCTCTCCCGGAAGTCCGCTACGAGGCTATATAAATGTCGAACGGCGCGCGACGGGAAGCATTCGTCTGATCGAGTCGATAGTGTTAAGATGTCAGAGACCGTAGCAATGGAAAGTGTCGCTTCTACCAAGAAAAAAGCTTCCCGGCAGAGGTCAAAGAGCAAATCCAACCACCCGAAAATATCTCAGATGGTCAACACGGCCATCGTGGATCTGAAAGATCGCGGAGGTTCCTCCCTGCAGGCCATCAAGAAGTACATCGCATCGAATTACAAGGTGGACGTAGAGAAATTGGCACCCTTCATACGCAAACATCTGAAAATGGCAGTGGTGGACGGTTCCCTCATCCAAACCAAAGGAAAGGGAGCCAGCGGTTCCTTTAAAGTGGGAGCTTCCGGAAAGAAGACCGAGAGCAAATCCGTTCAGAAGGTGGCACCCAAGAAACCATCAACCAAATCGAAACCCAAAGTAAATAAGGCTAAGAAAGTCGCCGTTAAATCCAAACCGAAAGCCGCTTCTAAAGCTAAAAAGGTCACCAAGGTCAAGGTCAAGAAAAGTCCCGCCAAAGCTAAGGCACCTCGACCCAAAAAAACCATGAAGAAGGGAAGCCAATCGTCCAAAAAAGCACCCAAACAGTCGAAAGTTGCTTCTAAAGAGTGAATTTTATTATTATTATTATTATCATTTTTAAATTTGTGAGTAGAACTTTTTCGAATTTGAATTCGTTTTAGAACTTAATCTTAATCGTTTGTGACGTCACACGATTAAAGTGCGATTTTAAAAAAAGCACTAGAATCCTGATCTCACACGCATTTGTAAATATTCATATTTTGTGTTTTATTTTTATGTATAAAAACATTCGAACGTTTTGTAAATAATAATAATAATAAACACTACATTTTTTGAAACTGTTTTATTTAACTTTTACTCGTATTTACACGCAAATATTCAATTGTATGACTTAAAAAATCGGTTTAAAATATTTTACATTTATGATTAGACTCAATTATAAACACATTTTAAATGTCAAATGAAGTTAAAATGTGTGTAACTCACTAGAAAATGACATTAATTTATTTAAGAATTTAATGATTTTTTTTTTTGTAGTCGTAAAATCTGTTTGTTGTTATACGGGTCGTGACACATCATGTGTTTTTGACCTTTACTCGACGGTGAGAAAAATTTATAGACATTACGAAAAATTTTATAAAATGTATGTAAACAATACGCTGAATTATTATAAAATTTGGAAAGTGGGATAAATAAAGCCTAACCTTTTAAAAATATCGAGTTGTGTCGTGTCACTTGATCAATGTGGAGGCTGTTAAGTCGTTTTGTTGCGTTTATAAACTTATTTACTTTCCCGGCTCTGTTATATATAACAGAGAAGAAAGTACGGGGACCGATGAAAAAATGACCCTCCCCCGAATCCAAAAATTGGATTAAAACGTGGAGAAATGCATCTTGTATAGAAAAAAATCGGGATTTTTTTTCTATATAAATTACTGTGTTACGTGGATGTTAGTGTATGGGGGGGGTACACGACTATGTTCATCCTCTTTGAAGCTTAATAACTCCTGTGCTTTTTGTCGAAAATTTCTGAAATTTTGCAGGGAGGTTTGTGTATTAGGGAGATCGACGCTATTAAATTTTGGATGTAAAGGTCAACGGGGTGGAGAGATAAAGGGGGTCGTGTGTCGTATCTCCAGTGGGATCGGACTTAAATAAGATTTTACTCGTTATTAGCATTTATTTTCTTTTTATTTATAAAACTCATCTCTAACCTCAAAATTAAGCGTTTTGGAGTAATATATAAAGAAAGGGATCATCCATAAATTATCTAACGCTGTCGAGAGTCACGACAGTGAATACACGCCTAGTAAAAAGTCACTGACTGAGTGTATACAGGAATCATCGAGTTACCGAATTTCGGGAGTTTTCTTTATTGCAAATATACTTGAACCTTCACCTCTATTATTAAAACCATTTTTTTATTTTTATTTAAACGTAGCAAACAAGGTAATAATCATCAACGAAAACAAGCATACTGCACACCCTTCTAGCAATAATAGAGAGGTTGAGGCAGAAGTTCAAACGTTACTTGTACACGGCAAGTAGAAGTACGTACACGGTTTACCTTTTAACTCCCAATAAAAAATTGTTGCAGCGCACGTTCGCAACATCACGTGACTCGGTGAACATCGCGCATCGACTCACGGGAAGTTTGTTGAAAAAAATGGCGGATACATTTAACGTCGAGTGTTACCAGCGAAGGTAAATAAACAAATTAAACTATTTTAAAGTATTTATAGGATGTTTAATAACACTAAATAATTATTTTTAATTAGCGTGGTGTCTCCTACCGTATTAAATTGTTAACAACATGAACAATAATATAATTATAATACATATAGGCCTACAGTATTTTATTGACATTAAAAATATTGATTTTTTGCAAAAAATCTAAATTTTTATTAAAAAAAATGGTTTGCAATTGGAAATCTTTTAAACTCTTCACTCATTGCTTTTTGGTAAAACTTTAGACATTTCAAAATAAATAATTCATTGTCAGTAGTACTTAAATCGGTTAGATTTACCTTAGGTAGCCAAAATGGCGGCTCGTCTCTGATTCCAGTAAACAAAAGAAAGGAAACAGTGGGGACGCATGTTCAAACCTAACCAAACCTATTCTAATAATTTGGTTGGTAATAATTATGATAATTTATTAATTTGTAAAAATCATAATTTGTAATTATGATTTTTATAACTTGTAAGGCTCCAAATTGGAGAGGCTATGCCTCTCCAAGTTATAAAAAATTTGACATAATTCAAAATAAATTCATCTGCAAAATTTTTACTCTAGAATATAACATTCCTGGATATGCACTTAGGCTAGAACTTAACAAGTTCAAATTAACTCCCTTCTTTGTTAAAAGGTTCAACAATTTTCTTCTCAAGATTAGAGATAATGGAAATTTACCTTCTGAATTGTTGTTCTTGTTATATCAAAAAATCCTGTTAAAATCTACAAAAAAGTTCTTGGGTGAACCAAATGACAAGTATTGTCAACGACTTTGGTGTTTCTATAACTCCACTGCTGATAAAATCAGAAACTAGCGACCTGATTAAAACTTATCTAATCCAAAATACATAGGAAATTTCTCTATCTCAAGACATTGGAGAAATGTACAACACAAAAGAACCAGAGTGGTACAGCATTATTCTGGATTACCCTTTTAATAATAACTACATGTTATCGAATATGCCATTTGCAATCAAGAAATTTTTTTATCCAACTTAGATTAAATAAAAAGATTATTATGGTAAATAATAAAATTTATGAATTCTTGGAAACATACTGTCCAAGATGCAAAGAAATATTGACTAAACTTCATGTTTTGTGAGTGCAAGGAAGGCCAGAAACTAAGAATTAATGGTGAACTGAATCAACTAAATACCTTTAAGGATGAAAATCAAATGTATCTATTATTTCATTTAGCAAACACTACAATGATATACCAATTGTATAATTTTGTAAAAACTTTTTCTAATCAGCCTTTCTAATTTTATGTAACAAACCTGATATTCATTAGTATTGTAATTATAGAATACTTATTTTTACATGATTATTGTTAATGTTGATATAAGTTAATTTGATATAATGTAAGTCTAACACCCTGTTATAACAGGCTATGGCCTATTATGATTAATAAATTCATTTAAATTTGGATTTGGATTAAATAAACAATAAATAATTAAATAATAAATATTTTTTTTACATTTTTTAAGAATATATTTTGACATTAAATAAAGAATGAATAAATAAATAACATTTTTTTTACATTTTTTAAGAATATATAAATTAGAATGCCGGCTACCATCCGAAAAAAGTCAAAAAGACACTTACATCACCACGTGCACTAACTCGCGCTTTCACAACTTCTAAATTTTCATTCATAAAACCAGATAATGGATTCCGAAACGAAACTATCTGAGCCATGGAGGACGCCATGTTGCTTTCAACCGTAAACTACTGCTACAAGCGGCCGTTTTTGCCGTTCGATGGCGCGCACTCCGAACGGAATTTAGGAACGCGTTCCGCAGGAATTTTTAAACGGATGTCGCTCGCGCGAAGTTACTTGGAGGAATAGAAGAACACACCCCTATAGATACAGAAAAAGATACGAAACATCTAAAGGAGGTAATATGAACTCTCTCTCTCGCGTCAGGGTTAGAAATAATCTTAGGTTAAGATTTAGAATTAAGATTAGGTTTAGATTCATACTTTTGTATAATTTTATATTTTTGATTCATTAAATGTTTTGATTTGTTTTATAAAATGGTTTGGTTAATATTGGTTAGTCCTACTTAATCTCATTTAAACGTCCTTCGCTCCTCCTACTCACAAGTTAAGGATAACGCGTGTTAATCCGCGTGTAAAAGAACTGATTAACTGGTGTCGGGAATCCTGACGATTACGCGATCCTCTAATTTCGCTTTCAATTAATTAACATTCAAACTAAGTCGATTTTCTTTGAATAGAAAAACCATTGTTAGACAAACCACTTACTCNGTTTTATGATGTGCTACGCAATGTCGTCCTGAACAACAGTCTTAATATTTTTTTTGTTAAATAATTATATAGAAAGTATAGGAGAAATAATGTATCAAAAACAAAGAATAACTTATGTAAAAATATTCTTTTGAATCTTTCATTAGCAATTAAAACATGAAAGTTTTATGATATGCTACACAATGTTGTCCTGAACAACAGTCTTAATGTAATTGTTCCTGAAATTTTTGCCACTTTGAAAAACATTTTAACATTTCAATAGTTGTTAAAAGAAAAAATTTCAATTGGACTTTACAAGAATTAAGAATTTCGGTTGTGTGGTATATTATTAAAAGAAATTATATCTGAAAATGTCCAGTGTTACAATATAAATACTATATCTTACTTACTCCCTAAGATTTTATAAATTTACATTTATACCTTACTGCATGTAAAGAATACAGAACAGAAATTCCTTATAGGCCTAGAGAGAAGTACTTTCATTTGCAATGTCACGAGATAGTACGTCATGTTCCATAGATTTTACATTCAGACAAGAATCCTGTTGATCTCTACCTGAATTTGAAAACTTCTTATTTATATTTATTATGTATTCATCTCTGTTTTCATTTTCTGGAGTTCTTTTATCCCCTCCTCTATATTCCAAACTGCTTTTACTGAAGGCACTATTGACTGTGTTTGAATGTAGAAGAGTTAAAGCTGTTCTTAAAGCTAAAAGTTCTTAAAGCTGAAGATGTCTTTCCAGCAATTGCAATATGTAATTTTTCAGATTTTTCTACAATAACATTTACTGAATCCCCATGAATGGTTTTATCCTCATGCAATTTTTTGTTTTCTATATCTGCATAATGCCATGATAAAGATGGAAGACCTGTATCTTCAAACACGAATGAAAAATAAATAAGTAATTTCTCGATAAGATGTAGGAAGAGTCTGTCTGGGTACAAGGAAGCTGTTGTACGAATTTAATGATGACGCCAGGAAAATATATTTCGAAACCAACGCAGTAGTTTAGTGTGCTTCTCCTGCCCTTTCTCTTTGTGTTTTTCCACGACAAAATTTGAGTTTCTCGTGCAGTGTTTACGTATTATTACATTGGGCGAAGGAATCAGAATATCTTGCATCTGCGCAGAGACGAGCATTCGATTTATTGTGCGCTCAACAGACTCGTTTTCATTTCGTTTGGGAAATCGATAAATGGCAAACTTCATGAGGAATCTTGTTAACCTTTGAAGCTTTTCTACAGGCCTCTCGTCCAGGTTTTTTGGCTGATGAAGAATAAAGGTGGATGGTGTTTTCTGATGTGTTTGATTTTCAGCGTAATAAGTGGTTTCCCATATCATACTATTTATGCTTGTTTCTTCACATTTGTCGTCTGAGATGCACGGCCGAACATTTGGGAAACGTTGCTCTTGCAACGTGTTGTGCATCTCCCACCAATAACACAATTCGTTCATTTTGATTACTTCCTCACGATATAATTTATCAGAATGATTGTGATCTGATAGAGGAGGAATCGTAATATCATCACCAATTTTTGATGAGGCCTGTTGGAAGTTTGCATAAGTACACACTTTCTTTTTTATAGGATAGACGGAATCGTCTATAGTGCCGCCATCTTCTATTGGGTGTACTTTTCTATTACGGCAAAACACTTTGAATCTCTTGAAACACTTCTTTCTATAAGAAGAAATTGAAATTTGTTGTTATATTTCAATAAACAAATTGTAAATTTGATGATAGTTTGGAAACAAAAACTTGATATTTGATTACTGGATGTTAACCTCTACAAGGCCAATATTTGATTAAGATTATATATATACATATGTATTCTTGTCTATGTGGTATTCCTTGAGCCTATCTGTAGACAGCAAACACCTTTCAATTGCTGCTGTTACTAGATGTTTTCCGACAGTTGTTTTAGCTGACAAAAGGCAGCTAGTGTGAAACTTGTAGCGTGTGTAAATAGTCCTTACCGTATTTCATAAAAGCCAAAACAAATTGTTTATAACTTTATTATGAAATAGAGAAGCCATCAATAAAACTTCTAAAATAGCTATCTAAAACAGTCAATTATCAAGTTTCGGTTATAAAATGATGAATTCAATTTTGGTGCAGCACCTTAATAAAGGAGACAAGTGGTTTCGGATAAATCAAAACAGGAAATCTCCATCGATTGAAGGCTTTAAGGAAGCCAACAACAAGGCTGATTAGCCAAAGAGGGTGTCTCCCGGAGGAGTTTGTATTGGAAATATTCTCCTACTTACACATTACAAACACGAAGGAATCCCGGAGAATTTCACAAGATTAGCTGAAACCGCGACTATCTATCTATCGGTGTTTAATCTTTCTTACCACGAAGAAAAGACTTAAAACTAAAAATATTTTCATTTAAACTTACTTTAAAATGAAAGAAAACATTTTTCTTTTGAAATCGCCGAACCAAAAATAAAATCGCATTCAATCTTAAGAAAGAACTAACTACAACAATCGTTTAGTGTAATTGTCAACTAGCAATTGTTGAAGGATCACTACGTCATTTGCCTTTAAAATTGCATACAAAGGGCGAAAAGAAGGCATTTTTATGTGTCAATCGCGGGTTCTGTCAGAATTAACCAAATTTATGTAATAAATGTAACTTTTTAGCATTTTTATTTTGTTGGCTTGAACTGTAATTTACTTGAAATGAAAACATTCATTTAAGTTTATTATTTGAAGAATAGAAGTCGTTAAATGAAATTGTTTTCATTTCTCTTGCAGTCAGGTAGAATTTGTGGGTCTCGACGCCAGTTTGTGAGCTCTTGGATAATCGCAAAGTTTTTCGAGGATTACGTATCTTTACTTAAGTGTGTGGTATCTTTAGATTCGTGTTGATGTGTAGAAAGTGATGATATCATCAGTTTGAGTGTGGGGTTGAAATTTCTGCAGCTGCGAAGGTTCGAAGTAGTGGAAGTTCGAAGACCGGTCATCCGGACATCGATGACCGATCTTCCGGAACTGAAAGTGGACTTTTATTGTGCACCCGGTTGTGAGTACTGTCTGAAATTTTTGAGGTCGTAGGATTCGAGTTAAGTGAGATTTAGTGACTTTTTATACCCAGTATGGGCGGGTTTTGGAGGGCTGTATCGGGCCCAATTTTATTGATTTTTAAAATTTGAAAGTACCATCTGAAAAAGGATGTCTTCAGCATAGAAATTAAAAAATTTGGTAAAGTTCACTTCATTAGTTATTATTATAGAACGATTTTAGTTTTTGAAATTTTTGCCTCACTGGAAAAATTTTCAACTTTTGGCGGTAGTTGTCATAGCTACGTCCGGGATCCCATAGCGACAATATTCAACATTTGCCGCGGGTGGAAATCTCAAGGACTCTATGAAGAAAGGAAGAGTCTGATATTTTTTACTCGCTTGTTCTGGGAAAGTGACTGTCTACCTTCTTGTAGTGAGGCCCGCTATTTGGTAGTATGGCTTCTAAGCCACCATCAATGGGAACACGGGCGGCTCGAGAGGATGGAGTGGATGGAAGAAGAGGGGGGTGGATGGGCTCGAGTCCGAGCAAGAGGGATTATTCCCTTCCCTTGCAAGTCGGCAGGAGGAGGGGAAGGATGCAACAGTCATCACTGCTAAGCAGTTTGAAGCTGAACTGTTACAATATTTCAAAGCTAATTCCGGATCGAAGATCGGTTCGAGGGACCACATCTCGCAGATTATGGGAAAGGTTTCGAGGATAATAGATTTATTGTCTAGGAGAGATGATATCTACAAGATGGTATAAAGGATAACCTGGATAACTGGATTAGCCGAAACCGCGATTATCTATCTGTTGGTGTTTAATCTTTCTTACCACGAAGAAAAGACTTAAAACTAAAAATATTTTCATTTAAACTTACTTTAAAATGAAAGAAAACATTTTTCTTTTCAAATCGCCGAACCAAAAATAAAATCGCATTCAATCTTAAGAAAGAACTAACTACAACAATCGTTTAGTGTAATTGTCAACTAGCAATTGTTGAAGGATCACTACGTCATTTGCCTTTAAAATTGCATACACAGGGCAAAAAGAAGGCATTTTTATGTGTCAATCGCGGGTTCTGTCAGAATTAATCAAATTTATGTAATAAATGTAACTTTTTAGCATTTTTATTTTGTTGGCTTGAACTGTAATTTACTTGAAATGAAAACATTCATTTAAGTTTCTTATTTGAAGAATAAAAGTCGTTAAACGAAATTGTTTTCATTTCTCTTGCGGCCACTCACACAGACACAAAGAGAAACTAATTTTGACAAAATAAACCCACAGATTAAATATCTCTACAAGATTGAATAAACCTACGCTCAAACGGATGTTTTTACACCCACATTGAATCTATTTTAGAGCGACGGATAATCTAAAGTACAGTACATATGAAATTCTTTTCTAGACATAAATGAGATGTCAAAACGAAAATATAATTGAATTAGTTTTTAGATTGTATTTTCCGCGTTGCTTATCATTTATGGCTACAGGCAAGAAGAATAACTGAATAAGTTTCGTGCAGTTCTAAAATTTAAACATTTTGAAATGCTCGCAGTTGATGTAATTTCTAATATACAAAGAGTTAATTACAGTGATAATGATTAATTTCTTAGTTCAAAGATATAATAATTTGCTGAAAACATACATGCTGCATATTCAAAATGTCTACTGACTCAGCAAAAGTTAGTGAAATATGTCATCTACCAGCACCTAAGGATATAACGGAACCTTAACGGAATTGTAAAATATTTAGGATCTAAATATTTTACAATTCCGTTAAGGATTCATAACTTAGTCGATAAAACTCAACCTACGTCTATTGTTAAAAAATAATATAGCATTTTATTGGTTAGAGAAACAGTAGTCCGAATTTCAATCATTAAAAGATATAAAAAAACAATGCTTTAGTTTTAACTTATTTCGATCCCAAGCAGTCTACAACATTATCAATGGATAGTTCAAAAGATGCAGTTGATACAGTCATCTTACAAAAGAGGAGACCCACAGCACACTCATCAAAGTCATTGACAGAGTATCAGTCACGTTACGCACAAATAGAAAAAGAGCTGTATGCAATTCCGTATTGTAATCGGTTTTTCGTCAATATATTTACGGTCAAAATGTCATTGCGGAAATTGATCATAAACCTTTGGAGACATTATTTAAGAAACCATTGTCTGAAGTACCAGTGCGTCTACAACGTATGATGTTGAATCTGCAACAATATGATCTGAGTGTTACGTATAAACCGGGCAAATTCTGTTCATAGCAGATACTTTAAGGAGGGCCCCAGTAAATCTGCCCAATGCAATGTTCTCTACAGGAGGATCTCCGTATACATGCAAACTTATTGATGACTAATCTTGCAGTTCTCCTGAACGTCTAGACGAGATTAAGCTAGCGACCCTGATGGATGCAGATCTTCAAGTCATTATAAAATATTGTCTTAATGAGTGGCCAACATCAAAAAACAAGCTTGAATGTCAATTAAAACCTTACTTTAATATACATCAAGAACTCCATGTCATCGATGGTTTAAGGTTGTCTACTTGTAATTCCTTTAAGCCTTCGTCCCAAAATATTAGACATTATTCAGGAAGGTCATTTAGGCATCGAAAAATGCCAAAGACAAACAAGAAGTGTTTTGTATTGGTCAAACTTAAATGTCGATATAAAAAACAAAGTAGAACAATGTCATGCCTGCATTAAATTTAGAAGACAAATAATGCAGAGTCTCTTATTCCACATGAGCATGTCAATCTGCCATGGCAAAAAGTGGTCATAAAGTTTTTGTTTATTATATAGATAATATTACTTATTTGCTAGTCATAAACTATTTTTTATAAATATTTCGAATTAGTCTCAGTCCCAATAATGTTAAACTGGTCGACGGCCGAATGGCCGAGCGGTCAAGGTGGCAGCCTACCGTTCCGGGGGACCCGGGATAGAATCCGGACGGGTCAAGGAATCCCAGGAATTTTTCGGAGGGTGGTCCATTCGGATATGTCGGACCCCGTCCCTCACCACCCGGTCGCCCCATTGTGGGCGTGGCCGAACCCATAATGGGCATGCTATAAGAGGCCCTCTTATAGCATGCCCATTATGCTCCTTTTTTATACTCACTTTTATTTTTTATACTTTTAGTTTTTATACTTTTGAAAGAACGTGCTATGTTCTAAAAGTTGCTATTGTAGTGACTTGTCACTACGATTGGGAGCACTGGCCAGATGCCGGCGCTCGACGGTCCGCCGTTCACGTTTTGGGCTGAATACGACGGCCGCAATCTCTCTAATCACAGTAAGCGACACAGAGATAATGGGTCTATTGCCTCCTAAAGCTTCTTTAATATAGCTGATAAATAATATCGATTTCAGACCACATTATTGACTTTTTGAATTAGGACCAACAAAGCGAGCATGCGACTGAGTCCAGTCGAACGTTGTTGAAATCCGTCACACAGCCGAGGATTGGGGATTCGAGTCTATCGTTACAACACACAAAATTATAATATTTAAATCTAATAAAACGGAAATATATAAATTTATTCGTGGTAGAAATATTTTAACATAATAAGGACCATATCCGAATCACGCTCAATTACGATTATTGGAAAATTTGGCCCGATGCTCACGAACGCCATTTTGATATCCGGCGTCTCATCGGAGCCGATGATGGCGATTCACACGTGAGCGATAAAATACCGTCATGGTCTTATACAGCAGGAATTTTTCTTTTTGCGTATTTATTATACAAGTTGTTATTGGTGAAATTATCCCATAATAAATTATACTTCAAATTTTAGTTACTTTTTAGTGACTAGTACGAAGAAATTATCGTCATGCTCATTAAGAAAATTATATTCTTCCTTAATTCTATTTTTCAATGAGGAAAAATAATAGAGTAAAAAGATGATTAAATAGTATGAGGAAAAAGATTAAAGTTTTTAAATTACGTACTTTACTTTTCTAATTTTTAGATTTATATAACAGATGTAGGTGGCAACATGTCCAAAATGGCGACACCCTTGGAAAGTGATATTTTTAGATGAGGCAATTATTATTTTTTACATTTCGTTAAAGTAACGTAAGTAGAGATTTCGATTATATAACATTGTATTCGTTTACATTATAGAAATATAATTATCGTTCAAAGTTTGATTTATATTAGCATTAAACATTTACGCAGTTGGAAGTAAGCAGAACATAATATATAAGAAGTAATTCATAACACACAATCTATGAGTTTTAGGTAAAAGTTTACTATTAATAGATCACGTGCTTTTTTTTTATATAAATGAAATGAAATGTGTACACCTTTCAGATAATTGTTTGGTATACTTGCAGGTACAATTGCAGAGGTGAATGATTCTTTTGACAACCTTAACAGAGCTGTAGACTATAACCATAAGAGCAAAAATGTCAAAGGAATCATACCTCTACATGCAACCCTTCGTAAGACATAGCCCCAAAGTCAGCCTAACTCCAGGGTGCGATCGTGTGAAGGGTCGCATGTAGCGGTATGGTTCCTTTCACATTTTTATGGTCTGCGGCTCTGTTATGGTTCTAACTGTCATTTACATCTGAAATTTTACCAGTTATTTATAATAAATACACCCGTGCTTTCTCTCTTTTTTAAAGAGACGTGTGGCGGAGTCTTGTACGATGCGAGGATACATTCCACGTTATAGGAAATTGTGTTATAGAGACGTGCATTATCAGATGATTTTATGCAAGTTTAAACCTAGAAGTTGAAGAAGAAAACATATACCTCTGAACAACAAAATTAGAATTTTGTATAAGTGTCAGATGCAACTTTTTTATTGCGTTATACAAATTCAGGGAGCATATTACAGTAGAACCTCGAAAACTCGGCTCTCGATAACCCGGCATTTTCACAAACTCGGCCACCCTTCGGTCCACATTAGGCCGAGTGTTCGAGGTTCTACTGTATACGGAAGTTCACTGTATATGATGGACATTTGTAAAACACATAGACTTACCTTATTTTCTTATAAATATATTCTAGAAGCATTATTATAAAATGTCTTTCAGAAGATATTCATATGGAATTTCTTATCCTATAGGAAAAATAGTTGACAAGCAAAACAGCAAATATAACATTTCAGTGTTATTGACAGAAAATTGGACAATCAAATACAGAGATTTGTATTTAAAACAATTTTTTTTAAATATATGTTGGAATACAAAATGATCTATTATATTCAAGTAATTATTAACATTTTGTATCTTTGTAACTAATGTGAAGTCAAATGAATATAAATCATAATACAGTGGTACCTCAGGATACGAAATTAATCCGTTCTGCCACTGAGATTGTATCAAGAAAATGTCGTAAGGTGAATCATTTTCCCCCATACGATTACATGTAAAACCAAATAATTCGTTCCAACACGAAAAACACACTCAAATTAAAGCTAAGTAATACATTAAAAATAATAACTATAGTAAGGAAACACTGAAAAATGCATTTTGTAGTTGTAAATGTATAAGTAATCGTAATAGAATAATAATTGATTGAAAAAAAATGTAGTTTTATTTGCACTTTACCTTTGAGGATAGACGAGGTGGAGGTGTAAATTGGTGGTAGAAGAGAGAGAGAAGGGAAATGATACTAAAACTTAACTTACATAACATAATGTAACAATAACTTAAAAATAACTTAGAAAAAATTTTAAAAAATTAGTGTTGTTTTATATATTTTTTATTTTTATTCACTGCTTTTTGCTTTCTTTCCTTCACTTCTACCAGCAAGTTCACTGGATAGAGGTTGCTTGGTAAAATATCTATCCAAAGAGGTTTGGCATTGCCTACTTTTTAAAATGTTTCTAAAATGACTTTGTCATTACTCCAAGCAGCAATACAGCCAGTGTGAACCTTTTCGGGATGTTTCTTTTCAATAAAATCAGACACTTTCTGATAATACCTCAAGATTTCCTTTATCGAGTGAGATCCTTCCACGACGAAGCAAACATATGGACTGAGACCGATGAACAGAAGTGAATAAAAAATGGGGCTGCGAACTAATGTAACGTCGTATGGTGAGATTTTGTTCGTATCGTGGAGCAAAAATATGTTCGAATTTCATGTCGTATCCTGAAAATTTCGTATGCTGGAGCGTTCGTATCCTGAGGTACCACTGTATGCACATTTGAAATTTAGCAGTCAAAATAGAAATTTATTTTTAACTGTTGGTATGCTTTGAAAAGGAAATAAAAATCTGAGAAAGTATAGAAAAAATTATGCTTTATTGAGATAAAAATTTCAGAATCATATTTCAGTTAAATTAAACATTTTTAAGGTTTCATTTACATGAAATGTTTATTTTATATTTTAGAATGTGTAAGTTTATGTGTGAATGATTTGTTTGTATATTATTATTATGGTGGTGTTGGAGTATTTACTACACAGTTTATATACTAGAGTCTAGTTTTATGACTGAAGTCAAAGAATAACTATAGAAAACATGTTTTGTTTACATGCTGTTTGTTTATATATGTGTTTAAGAATATCCATTGTAATGCTTTGAGACTTTTGTGTAGTGTGACACCCAGACAAGAAAGGCCTATTGGCATAATAAATATCTTATTCTCCACAGACGCTTTACTTCAAGTTCTGAGTATTTACTAATTTTTTCAGCATATGTATTTTGTTTATTGTGGGTGTTTGGTACAGTTATGTCTGATATATGTGATTTTCTTTCATTTGTCAATGAATGTGATGTATTATTTTGTCTTCAGTTGTGATGTGATCATAATATATTTTATAGTATATTTATCAGAAGGAGTTTTTTAGTTTTTTGTTCACACTGGATATTGGTTTTGTATGCATTATATATGTGAGAATATGGGCAAGGTTGTTATACCCTCTAGTCGTCAGGATCATTAGTCCTGCTCACTTCGTCGAAGGATGGCTTAAAATATAGAATGTCATCCGTATCTCTCCATTCGTTTGACTGTCAGGACTGACACCAGCTAGGGTAGAAGTTTTGCACTCTAACTCACGATCTTATGATCTAGATTTTAATGGAGGGCTATATTCTATTGAGTGGGTAGGAGTTGTGGGTAAGTTCTGATCATAGTGGGGTGAATGTCCGTATTCAACAAAGGGATCAAACAAGTTAACAAATAACAAAAGGATTTAATGAGTAAAATAAAACAAAGAGATACATAATATAACATATTGTAAATTGAGTCTATCTAGAATACTTCTAAACGTGAGAGAGAGAGAGAGAGAATTTACAATTGGTTAAAATGATGATAATACCTCTGTCGATGTATAGAGCTTTTCTTCTAATATGTGGAGAATGACTTGGTGAATGTGAGATGAATGCTGGAGAGTCAGAGCTGGACTATCTTCTTTTTCTATCAGTATGGCAGACATGAATTCCGATTGACTGTCTGTCGTTTATGGCAGACTCTTATTGTTCTGGACTGCTGTTAATATGACAATGTCTAATTTTTGTGGACTGCCCCGAACTTGTGACTTTTTCCCCTTTTTATTCTAAGTTTCCAACAATCAGATTTTAATATTCTGATCATCTGACAGGACATAAATCTGACGCAAGAGACAGATGTTTGTCAGATATTTGCGATAACAACTTTCCAAGGGAAATTCTACTTCCCTTTTCCCACAATGATGAATGTCTATTTTATCGCTAAAATATTACATTGAAATTATTAATCAAGTGGGTAAATCTAAGACTGTGATAAATAAAACGAATAAATTTTCAAATAAAGTGCTCTCCACTCTCACAATAGTATATTTTGTTTATGTTGTTTTCTATAACCATCTGAGATGTGTATTTGTGTGTTTTTTGGGGTATAGATGTTTGGCTAGTTCCTGGTGCAAATTTTTTGTACCAGAAATTTGGATTTTGTCTGCACCTGGTGTCTTTCAACTGTATGTTCTTTGTATTGCATGTTGTTGTTGTCGTGTATGTTCATTTTGATATGGCATGATTAATGTCTTGTGTATGTTTTCTTCTTCATCTTTGTATTTGACTGGATTGGACCAAAGAGCAGACCAATACTGTGTTGTTTTTATGTTGATGTGCCATTGTGCTGAGATTGTAAGGTGGGTTTAGTATGTAGTAAGGGCTGGCGAGCAATTTTATACAAGCCTGGGGATAGAACAGGGTCCTTTTGCCTCTTAGCATTCTCCTTTTTGCCAATTTTGAGCAAATGAAATATGTAGAATATTTTTTATTAATAAAAGTAAAATCTTTAAGAGTTTATTTAATTAGTAAAAATAATATTATTCTAAATATCACTTATGGTAGCTGTTATTTCGTTACGAATGTATGTCTCTTTAATCCGACAAATTAAGTTTGGTAGACTATCAATACAGCTTTCAGGTTAGACACTTCTTTTATTGTTTTCACATATGCATTTCAGGCTTATATAAATGCTAAGCCCCTCTTCAGTGCAATACTACAAATTATTAAAAAAAACAACAGTTAGTGATTTGACAAAAATTTCTCGCATGTAGGTCATATTTACTGACATAAATCTATCATACTTAAAAATAGTCATATTTATACATACATATGGTTCTGTCTTCTATTGATAAAACCACGGTGTATAATGTACAACATTGGAAAGAGTTTTTAATACAGCCATTAAAAACATCTAAAATACACTTTCCTAACATTCATACAGAAAACCTAATATATTAATATTTTTTCATAATTTTTTTTCATAACATATTCCAATAAAACAACAATGTAATACAATACATACCTACTTTAACATGTGCTCATAAAATCTTATATAAGTACAACTTTTAAAGAATTTATATTTTCTACAACATAACGTTGCAGTAACTGTAATCATAATCATTTTTTTACTGGTTAATTACATGCATTATAGTGATATTAAAATCATTTTCAAGAGAATACATACATTATTTCATCATTTCACAATATATTACCTATCATTTTCTCATATAATACTTTGTATAACCAATACACTACAATCACTTTTTTATTTTAGTGCCCTGTATCATATTGTACCACTGTTGATCTATTAATAATAACGTACAACTACACACCGGAGTTTGCTAAAT